CTGGAAGGAGGAGTTGTTGTTTGTGGTTGCAGAGCCCTTTGAAAATGATTTGCTGGTTTCGGTTGAAGATCGAGTTTCGCCCGAGAGGGATGTGGTTGTGGCCGAAGTTCTTCTTCCAGTGGCCACAATAGAGAAGCGAGCTGATGAAAAACCAGTTACTTCAAGGTGGTTCAACCTTGACAGCCACTTTGGTAACACAGGTGATAATAAAAAACTAACGACAAAGTTTGTTTCTCGGATTCACCTGCAAGTCTCAATTGATGAAGGGTACGATGTGCTCGATGAGGGGACAATGACAATGGATAGCAGTGATGTTAGGCCCACTTCTCAAATTGGTGTGCTTGAGATGGGAATCTTGGGTGCCACAGATCTTATATATGCCAGAGAAGACAGAAATCGGTAGAATTAATAATGCCTATTGCATTGCTAAGTATGGGAAAAAATGGGTTCGCACTCGCACCGTGGTTGATAGCTTGTCACCGAAGTGGAATGAGGACTACACTTGGCAAGTTTATGATCCCTGCTCTGTTGTGACTATTGGGGTTTTTAACACCAACGACTACGCTGGAACTCGTGATTACCCGATTGGGAAAGTTAGAATCAGATTGTCCACGCTTGAAACCGATGGAGTTTATAGCCACCCTTACCCTCTGCTGATGCTTTTCCCATCAGGGGTCAAGAAAATGGGGGTCCTTCATTTGAATGTGAGGTTTACATGTGTCAATTTGGCTAACATGCTGCGTAAGTACACGATGCCTTTGCTGCCCAGTATGCATTACACGCATCCCTTGAGTGCGGATCAATTAGAAAGCTTGAGGTACTTGTAAAGAACTTTGGGATACACCATCCCAAAAGCTAGCTCAAAGGGTGAGAGTGCCTAAGGCCTTATAAAGGCCATATTAGTTGCTCATCCAATCAATGTGTGATTATATATCTCAACACGCCCCCTCACGCAAGAGCCTTTTTAGGCTAGAAGTGTGGAAATTGCACAAGCCCATTATTGGTTTACCTTTTTGTGCTTTTTATGGAGAGGCTCTGATACCATGTAAAGAACTTTGGGATACACCACCCCAAAAGCTAGCTCAAAGAGTGAGAGTGCCCAAGGCCTTATAAAGGCCATATTAGTTGCTCATCCAATCAATGTGGAATTATATATCTCAACAGTACCATGCCATGAACGTGGTGGCCTCAAAGTTGAGCAGAGCAGAACCACCATTGGGCAGGGAGGTAGTGGAGTATATGCATGAGTCACGTACGTGGAGCGTGTTGAGGAGCAAAGCTAACTACTTGAGGGTAATTGGTGTCCTCTCATCCCTTACAAACATGTTACGCTGGTTTGTAGAAATCCGCGATTGGAAGAAGCCAGTGCACTCAGCATTTTTTCTGATCATTTTTCTCACGCTGGTGATGCTTCCTGAGTTCATCATACCCACCATTTCGTTCTGCCTGATGTTTCTGGGGCTTTGGAGCTATAGGTATCGACCCCGCGGGGGGCCTCCTTATTACATGGATCCCAGATTTTCACATGCCGATAGTGCTGCTCACCCTGATGAACTTGACGAAGAATTTGATACTTTCCCTACAAGAGTCAGTGATGATTTGCTTGTTATGATGAGGTATGAGAGACTGATTCAAACAATGATTAGAGATGTGGCAGCACAAGGGGAAAGATTCCAAGCTCTGCTATCTTGGAGAGATCCACGAGCTACTTTCTTGTTTTTGGTACTGTTGTGCTGGGTTGCTCTTGTTTGTTTGTCTGTTGTTGTGCCCATTCGAGTTGTGGTGGCTCAGTTCGGATTGTACTCATTGATGCCACCAAGGTTTAGAATCACATTGTCCTCTCCAGCTGTTAACTTTTTCAAACGATTGCCAACCAACCAAGGCTTTGGAATGTGAACCAGAGGATCACTGGTGCCACGACACGGGGATTTGGACTCTTAGCATTTTGGAAGATTTCCGGCGACAAATATAGTTGTATTATTGTTTTGATAGAAAACTTATTTAAGCAACGTTTCAGTTAGGTTTGAGTTAGCAAATTTTGTCATTTTCGTATTTTCAACTTTCAAAATTGATAATAAATCAAGACTATACTACACGTATATCCAGTGCTGCTTGGTCGCCTTTGCTCGTAAGTACGGACATGAATCTCTGAATTTTTTTTTTTTTTTAAGCATAGTAATAAAGCATGATGTTGATTAAAGTAGGCTTTGCTTGGATATATAACGAGGGTCGAGGGATGAAATGAAAATAAATGAAATACGGTGGGATGAAATAAGATATCATATATTTTATTGGATATTTTATGATGTCATATAACAAATCAACTTTGTTAAAAAAAAAGTGTTGGAAATAATTTTTTACATTAAGTTAAAGTTTTTTTTTCCTTTTCTTATTTATATTTTTTGTGTTTTAATGTATTTAAAAATTTTTAAAAATTTTTTTTTTTTGAGAATGCTGACCCCGGACCCCGTCACTAAATATACAGACATAAATAATATTTATTGATTCTCTGCCTATATTTATTTATAATACAAGGAGCACAACACCAGTCACTCCAGACATTAAACAAAGAAGATGATACAATGTTGCTACTACTTTTCAGAACAAACCGAGGCTATGCTTGATATAGCTGGGTATAAAAAGGAACGCAATGTTTTTATAGTTATAATTCTTATTTTTATAGTTATAATTGCTTCACAAACTCTTCAATTTTCCACACCATATAGTTACAATTTTTTATACTTTATAGTTAAAATAAACTTTTCATTCTTATTTAAAATTTTCAATTTTTTTTTATCTAAATATAAACAACGGATCACGTATTTAAATGCTAGTAAAATAACTTACCAAAAAAATGCTAGTAAAATGTATAATGCTGATTATTTTTTTTTATAATCTATTAATAATTTAAAGCTAAGAATATCTACTTAATTTTCTTACCATTCTCAACAATTTACCTAATCTCAGATGACTAAATTAAATTGTATATTTATATCATATAGAATTGTTAAAAATGTTACTCTAATCAAATTTTAACCCACAAATTGCAAATTTTATCAGTTAATATGGCAACTGTATATACAGATAAGAGTGCTGTGTTGTCCCGATAAGAACGATGGGGTGCCTAAAGCATGACACCGATTGACTCCTGTCTACTGTGCAGGCCAAGAACTAGAAAAGGACACTTTTCAAAATCAAGATAATGGATTTCTTCAGCACCTTCAAATATAATATAAACTACTCGTTAACTTTTAGCCATTTTAGCAAGCGGCACGAATTTACTTGTTACTAAAAAATTTTATAATTTTTACAATAATTTCTGTCAATTTAACAGTTATAATTTATTAAAAATTAATAGTATTTATTATGTCATATTTATTAATTCTCAATAAATTATAATCGTTAAATTGACGGAAATCAATGATAATTAAATTGATTGTAAGAGTTGTAAACTTTTTTTGGTAGTAAATGAATCCACCCTTTTTAGCAAAAGAGAAATACTATATATTTATGTAGATTTTTTAAATAAGTTTTCTAATTATTTATAGGACTTTGTATCTCTCATGTAACTACAAAATTTTATTTTTTCCAGCTGAAACAAAATTATAGTAGAGCCTACCATTTAAAAAAAATATATAATAACAGAAAATTTTTCTTGAGTCTATTGCATGAGGAGAAAATATATACAGTGACAGCAGATGTTGTTTTCTTTTATTTATAATGCAAGAAGTATTTAATATGTTTCTTTTCAATAATTAAATGAGTTATTGGACTAATATCTTTAAAAAATATAGGATTATATTTTACCAAAAAAAGAATTTCTACTGAAAAGCTTATCCTTTCAAGTCATATAAATAATTGCACAAGTCGGTAGGTGATATTTCAAGAGTAAAATACTTAATGAATCAAAATAGTGTAATTTTTTTTACTATAATGAATATAACATTATTCAATCTTTTGATCGAGCAAAACTAAGTACAAAGTCATCACTCCCTTCTTAATCATCACTTACAAATGATGAATCCGCGTGATATTTTAAAAGTTCTTTTAGATATAATTTAATATAATAATATCATATAAGATAATTTTAACTATTTATAAATAAATTACAGATTAATTTTTTTTTTACATTTTTTTCGATATTTTTTTCTTATTTCTTATTACCATTAATTTATTTATAATCGATTAAGATAGTCTCACATGATTTAATTATTTTTCTTAAGGAAAAAGGTAGATTAAATTTTATTTATTTTTAAAATTAAAAATATTGAACACTACTTTTATAAATTATTAAAAACATTTAATAAAAAACATTGAATATTCTATAATCAATATTCTTAAAAGACTTAGCGCATATACAAGACACTCATGATTTAATTAAAAGACTTAGCGCGGCGCAAGTACACCGATCCCACGATGCACCCGAGCGCACACACTCCCTCGTGATCTAATGTGCGCACGTTAAACTAGAAGAGGGGAACGGCGCACGTTATCGAAGCCCCCAACTTCACTCTTGAAGATGTCTAACAAATCAACCAAAACAAATATAAATACTAAGGTTTGAAAAAAAAGAAAAAAAGAAAAAAAAAGAAAAGAAAAGAAGAGAGAGAATAAATACTAAAAAGACATAGAAAGAGAAGTTTGTGTCTTGGTTAAATGCTTTTCCCTCTCGACTCAGATTAGCAACAACATCACAACACAAACGGTGTCTGAATCCAAGTTCCACCTAAATCCACGTCAATCTTCACAAATCTCACCGACCCATCTCCTTTTTAACCATCTTAACACGTTTTTAACCATCTTCATCGATCGAGACATGGCTAGCTAGGTTCTTTTCATTCCTTCTTCCATTCTATGCACGCTTTTTTATTAATTTATTATTATTCAATGTTTTATTGCTCATTTGGGAGTGTTATCTCTGCGGTTCTGTGTGTTATTCAGGTTAATGCAGGTGATTGTAACGTATATTGGACGTAAATTTTCATGCAGTGAGTGTGTGAGAGACTAAGAACGAGGTTCGTGGTGAGGGCTCATGGCGATGAACATGGTTAATCGATTGGTCAAAGCGAGGAGGGACACTATTGTAGCATGCATGACTTGTCCACTTTGCAATAAGTTGCTGAAGGATGCTACCACAATATCTGTATGCCTTCATACGTGTGAGCACTTCGATCTCCTCCTCTATATCCCTTCCAATCCCATTTGTTTTTTTGCCTCAATCTGATCTAAATTTTCTCAAATTTCGAACCTTTATTGTGTTTTGCATTCCTCTTCGTCCTTGTTTGTCCCAGATTTTGCATTCTCCATATGGGTTTGGCTCTTCTTTGATTCTTCCTCAGATGGGGCATATCTGGTATTTGCTTAATTACAGATATGGGGGTGTTTGGTATTTAAGTGCTTTTTGGAATATATTTTTCACTAGGAAATTTTATGGTTTGGATTGGGCAACTATTTAGTAGTTTTTCTGTTCCATTAATGTTCTAGTTTTTCTGCTTGATTTACTTAGCTTTGTTTCCTATGTCATTAGGAATTTGATGTACTACTTTCTCATGGACATTGGCAAATTATTTGTTTAGAGTTTGATGATATGAAATTTGTATTTCTTGTGATTGATTCATACATGACTAGACAAATTGATCCGAAAATGTCTAATAGAATTTTTCTATGAACTTTATTCAGTTTGCAGGAAGTGCATTTATGATAAAATTACAGATGAAGAATTGGAATGCTGTCCAATATGCAACGTTGATTTGGGCATTGTTCCGCTTGAGAAAATGAGGTCAGCTCATTCTGACAAATTACGAAGTCACCCGTCTCTTGTACATTTTCTTCAAAAAGAAGAAAAACAATAAAAATAAAATTTTGAAAAGGTTGTAAGTTGTGAAATATGCATGAAAGGTGTTCCTTTAACTTGGTATTCTGTGCCAACAGGAAACTATATATGTTTTTCCTAGCCAATTATTGTTTCAAGGCTTCCAAAATAGAGATATAAGATAGACCATTTCTTTTGAGAAACAAATATATTGATGATGAGTCCAGAAATGCACTATAAAGCTGTCTTATACCGCTTGTATGTCATCATTTATTGAAATCCCCTTGGGGGAAGAAAAAGCAAACAAACAAGTTTCATACATCATACCATTATCAGATCTTCTAGGTTGGTATCGTGCTGCAACAACATGCAAGAATGAGAACTATGGATGCTATGATGGTGCCATCAAGATAAAGTCAACTGATAAGAACCTTGGGATGCACCACCTCCAAAAGCTAGCTCAAAGGGTGGGAGTGTTCAAGGCCTTATAAACCCCACATTAGTTGCCCATACAACGAACGTGGGACTCCAAGTCCCATACCTTGCAAATGGGTCCTAACATTCCACACGTTTCGCAGCCCAAGCCCGAGGTTCCAAGTCCAAGGATCCAACCCCCGGGTTCTAGTTCCAAGTTCCAATCTGCAGAAACACAGTGGGTGCTTTGATACCATTTGATAAGAATCTTGGGATGCACTACTCCAAAAGTTAGCTCAAAGGGTGGGAGTGCCCAAGATCTTATAAACCTTACATTAGTTGCCCATACAACCAATGTGGGACTCCAAGTCTCATACCTTGCAAATGGGTCCTAACATCAACATTTTTCTTAAATTTGTGAAAACTTGCTGCAGAAAAATCCAATTGTGGCATCTCAATATCTCGTCATAAAATACACGCATGTGAACCATACCTACAAGGATATAAAATACATTCAGTTTGACATGCATAAATAATTTAGCTGACTATTTTTACAGTATGTTTGCAGCTTATTTTCAAAAAAAAAAAATTTCATAGATCTCTCATGTCAAATATTTGGCATAGAAATTATTGAAGTATTTAAGATGTGTGAAACCAAACAATTGTATTTTACTGCTGCCACATTGCTTTTGAAAATTTTTAATCTGAAGTTCTGAACTATTATTTGGAAACAGAATGAGGAAGAATAGCATAAAAGTAGTTGTAATCCAATTAATAGATGAAATGACTGACATAGTTGACCCCAATTACGTGGAGTTTAGGATATTCTTTAGTCGAGAATGTTTAAATTTGATTTATTAGTTTTTCTTTATCTTCAGAAGAATTCATTTGATTCTTGTAAAAGGGAGGATACTGTTGTTTGCAGTCCTAAGCCAAAATTGATGTCTTTGTCCTGCTACCAAAGGACCCTGATTATAAAAAACTAGAGTGTGAACATATAATGCTGAACTTGGATCAAATAATAGGGGTATTAGGATTGATGAATTTGTTAGATGCACAGAATAGATGATAGTATTGAGCACTGTCCCAAGTAGATATGGCAAACTGATAAAACTCAAAATAGGGTAAAGTTTTCTTTAAATTAATTTCCTTCACCACCAGTCATATGTATGCCTTTGGCATTGAAGCTCAGGGCCTTTTTTTTTTCTTTTCGAAATAGGTGTTCTCTTTTAAATTGTTGTATGTTAAATTACACATCTTATTTTCTAATTACCAGGCCAGATAATAGTTTACAAGACTTAAGGAACAAAATTTTCCCTTTTAAAAGAAGAAAGGTGAAGGCACCTGCAGTTGTCCCCTCAGTACTATTACCAGCTAGAAGAAAGGAGAGATCACTTTCATCTTTGGTTGTCAGCACTCCGAGGGTATCTACTAAGGTAACCTTGACAGGAAGAAGAACAAAACCTTCAAGAAAGGCTAGTGGTCTGCTTGCCTCTAGTTTCTCCATTGAAAAAACCATTAAAAAAGAAGAGGAATTACTGGAAGATCGCCAAGATAGTTCAAGCTCACCTGACACTTCAAACAAGTCTGCAGAGAATGGTGGACAGGTAGGCAAGACAATCAGGGTGTTCTCATTGAGCTCATCATATATGGTTCTGTTTACTTTGTTTTATTTTTTGGTTATCTTGGTTCATTTGTTTTCCCTGATTGTATTGGCGTTAGTTATGTTATGTTCTGTTTGTGTTTTTTTATTGGTGCAGAGGTTCTCATCTTGTGAAAATAGCCAATCCATACACAATAAAGGAACAGAGAATGGTGCTGAACCACATGAAGCAAAACTGGATCTTTGGAAACCTTTGAATTATTTAGTGGAGGCTGCAAGTAGGAGTAAATCTTTTAAGTCTAATGTGCAAGGGTCTGATGCCAAACTAGAACTCATTAAAGTAAATAACAATGATTCTCAAGTGCTGAAAGCAAAAAATAAGGAAAATAAACGCAAGGTAAAAGTTGAAGATGAAAAGACTAGCACTGATCATATCTCTTCAGATAAAGCAAAAACCAATAAATCACGCAGAGTTCGCATAAAAAAGGAACCTGATTTTGGAGAATCACGCATATCACCTCAGGCTGTTCTGGATGCTACTGACACTGAACTCTTAAGGAATGATTCAATTTGGTTCTCCTTAGCAGCTTCTGAAAACCAGTGAGAAAACATAGCTTTGCAGCTTGATTTAACAACTTATATCTTGAGATCCTGTGAATATTATATATATGTTCCATAAATCATTTTCATATATTTCTTTATCTACTAATTTCAGACTATTGTTTCAGGGAAGGATATGCACCCTTGCCCCAAATTAATTCAAGTTATGTAAGAATAAGGTAAGTTGCTTCACATTCACTGCACCTGTTTAGACATTGAGTTGTTGAGTTATTGTATGCTTTAACTACTTTTCTGTTTTCCTTGTTTCTTCACTCTAGTGCAATGCAGAGTATCCCTTACCATTTTATTGTTAGAACAGGTCATTGTGGTGGGTAAAATGATCTGTCTATTTGTTCTTACCAATTTTATATTTTTCAGAACATGTGCAGATCAATATAAAATGTTAGCTATTTTAGATTGGAAAAGGGAAATAGAAAAAAATCAATAAAGTCCTGTCCCAAGAAAGGAAAGAGGTCATGACTGTGGATAAAAGGATTGGCTATGTGGATTTTAAAGTTTGCTTTAAAAAAAAATTTCCCATCTGTAAATTTAGTACATGATCTCTCTCTATATATGTTTACTAGTTTCATTTTTGTAATGTGTTGCTTTTGATAAACTTGAATTTCCTAGCCAAGGGGTTGCAAGAATGTGTATGTGTTAGTGTATTATCCAAAGATTTCGTACAAGCTATGCTAATTGCATGCCTTGTATAATACAAGATTAAAAAGACACCATAAATAAAGCTATAGCTTCTCTTTCCCACTTTTACAATAGAGTTGTCTGTAAGCCAATTACATTTATCCAATACTACCAAATGAAGATTTTTGCATTATACATCAACTGTATTGATCGTAAATTTGAGAACATTTAGAAAATAAATTTTTGAAGCTCATGCTTTTGGTAAGGATCTGCTAGTGGATATTTGATTTATATGCCAATAGGCGATGTGCATTGAGTTTATGTTTGTGCAGAGTGCAGACATATACATGCTCAGTCATTTCTAAAATTAGCAATAAACTATATAGTTTCAGGCTTTCAGCAAACTACTAGATTGTGGAAATATGCTTGAGAAATTGATTTCGCTCAATGTTTGCTGCTCCTAATACTTAAAATATAGATCTAACTGAACTAGAATATGTCTGTCTCTTCATTTTGTCACAGGAATGGAAACGTACCTGTCTCATTTATCCAAAAATACCTAAAGAAGAAACTAGACCTGAAAAGTGAAGATGAGGTAACTTTGTTGTGCATCTAAAATATATTGCTGTAATTAGGGAATCTGGGCGTCAAAGACTCTAGTATCTTGTTTGGTTTTTCACTTGCCTAATATTCATTGAACCTCTGGTGTGGTGTGTATGAGCCCAAGTCAACAGTTTGTTATAGCATTCGCAATTAATTGTCATTTAAAGGTTTCTGCTTGCCTTTTAAGCGCTTGACATGCACTCGTAACTGATAGTCTAAAACCCTTTCCCCATTCACAACCGTATGACATGTATCTTCTTATTCTTCTATAATTTGATGGGGCAATAACTTAGCAGTATCATATTCTTTTTAAGGTTTCATTTCAATTTGAATTATTATCCAGTCATGTTCGGATATTTATGTTGCTATACTCTCCCAACTGCTACTAGAATGTAAATATATAATGAAATAAACATACACGATAAGAACAATGACCACGGGGTAGTGATTTTGTATATGTTAAAAGGTATGATTTGACATCTTATAAGAAATTCTAATTCTAAGTGCACAGATCTTCCTTATAGCACATAATATATGGCAGCAACTTAGAATCACATCACTATTTTCATGACTTTTGGTGCTGCTAAGCGTAAAAAAATTTGCTTCTTGCAGGTTGAGATTATATGTATGGGACAACCAGTGCTCCCTACACTGCAGGTACAAAATTTGTTCGAGTTGTGGCTGGATATGGCATCCACAGGACAGAGAATTCCAGCAAACATAGGGTCCTCAGCAAAGGATTTTGTCATGGTCCTAAACTATGGTCGGAAGGTCCCACATCCTTGATCTTGGTCCCCCATTCTGCTCCCATTTACAATTTTAATGCACCTTGATGAAAAATCTTCACAGGATAATCGTTCCCCCATCTGGATTGTACATCGAGCATGTGTTCTTCTGTAACCGTGTTGCCAATAGGTGCTATGTTATTGAGGATAAAATAGTTCAAATAAATTATGAGGAAATCTCTCCTATCCTAAATATATTATATAGAGTAGCATGCTGTTCTGCGTGGTCATTGTTGTGATCATTAGTTCCTGATTTTTCGAGAGCATGCTTTTGTTGTTTTAATAAGTTTTAAGCTATGAAGCACCGACACTTCAAAATCCTTGACGTGTCGTGTCCGACACTTTCCGACACTCTTTGACACTCCGACACTCCCCGACACTCTAACACGTGTTGTAGAAATTCAAAAAAAGGTTCAAAGATTGCGTTGCGTTGAGTTTTTAGTTTTAACTATTAAATTCGTTGAATTTCGATTACCATTTTATTAAGTTTAATATAAATATTTGGGATATCTTATGTTTCTTTGCAAAATTGATGAATATTATAAGTTTAATTTCATTTTTTTGTTAAATTATTGAATATTAAATATAATATACACTACATAAATTAAAAATATTATTTCATATCAAAACGTGTCATACCGTGTCGAAATCTAACATTTTTTAGAATTAACGTGTCGGAGTGTCGTGTCGTATCATGTCACGTGTCCCGTGTCAGTATCGGTGCTACATAGGTTTTAAGTGCCCATGTGACTTGGACATAAGTCGCTTCATACTTGGTTGCATAAGATATCTTGGATATTTTAACATTTGAATTCAGATTGTCCTTTCTTAATATTTTCGTTCGGTTCACAATATGAATTGTTGCAAGCAGAAAATTGCAAATGAGGAGCAGAAAATCACATCATCGTCATGCCGTTGAAAAAAAAAAGATAAAATTTCTTATCATTATTATTATTTTTTGCTAAAACGCACTATGATGGGTTTAAAATTTCAACGTTTAGTGATTATATTCAAAAGTCAAAATTATTTACATCCATATTCAAAACTGTTATCTATTTAACAAGATAGAATTTACATCCTAATATCATCATCCCATTCCATTGTTTTTTGTTTTCCCAGCCTATATCCATATACTCTTCCAGCTTCGGTCTTTGAGCAGCTTGACCGCATGGGAATTAGGACACCTGAATACAAGGCAATACCAAAATCATCATAACCCCCGGGACCTAAATTTCCATTAACATTCATATGTAGCACGTTCGTGGTTCTTAGTCAAAACATATATCAAATAACCAGATTAATTAATTAAAAAAAAGGATTGATGTTTCTTATATTTAGGAGATAAATTTTATCTCCCACACACACATGAAAATGTGTAAAAATAAAAATCATTTTCTATAACATAAGAAACATCAATCCCTTAAAAAAAAATCAATTGAACCAACTTTTTCCCCCCTTCACTTGCCATAATCCTTCATTTCTTGTATGTTTGGTATGGAGGGGTTTTAAAGGGATATGGAAGGGACGATAAATTTTTAATTTCAATTAAATGTTCTATAATATAAGAAAGTTTTAGAATTCATGGAATAAAATGATAAATTATCACGAAACCTTTCAATCATTCCTTATTCATTTTTATAAATACTATGTAACTCTATTAATTTAAAAATGAAAATTTTACCCTCCCTTTCCCTCCAAAACCCTCCATCCAAACAAAAAGAAATAACAGATTTTGGGTTCAGGCAAGAACTTCTGTTAAAAGCTTGGCCCTGCTCCTTTTTATGTTTTGGCCAAACATTTCTGGAAATGAATCAATATGGCCACATCAACCGTCACCAAAGTACATGCTCCAGATTCATGGACAGGCAGAAAATGGAGTAGTTTGACAAAGGCATGTCGTTCCATAAATGATGAATCATTTTTTCCCAGTAACTCGTAGACTAAAACAACTTCTACATTGATATTCTAAGGTTTAATCTTATAGTTGCCATCTGGTTCCGCATGAATTTGCATCCTAAAAATTTTGAGGAAAATCTGCTGTTTTCAGCCATCATACACAAATTGGGTTATATTCATTAAATACAGACCTGGATGTCCTCCTGGTACACTGTTTTATGAGATGTGATAATAACTAACATGCATATGTCGGTCTCATCAGATAACTAGATGAAAAAGAACATCAAATTTTTTTTGGTACTTTACCCTAATGATACAGAAAACTTATGACACTTTTTTATAATTTCATAACCATGCATTTATAAGATGGTGATGAAGATGCGTTAGAGATATTAATCTATTCATGCGCCTTTACCTAATAGCCTAAGCTATTGGAAGAGTTGATTCTTAACATCACAAAAAAGCTTCCATGATCAAGTGGTCAAGAATTTGATAATTGCTTCCCTAATTTTCATAATTAAGTTGAACTATTGCACAAGGTATAGCAAGCATGTGCACTTCCACGCTTAAAACCCAAAAAGCTCTTGTGTGAAGAGACATATTAAAGATATAAAATCATTCATATACCTTCACTTGATGACATGAACAAATCAGAGCCTCTATCATCAAGTGATTAAGAGTTAGATCCTAATTACTATCATTCTTCTAATAAAAAAATAAAATTCAGCACAGGTGGACTTGTGAATCATCCACACTTCAAACTTCAAGAGCTCCTGAATGCAAGAACCAATTATCCTAAGAGCTTAAGCCTTTTAGGTAAAGGCTCATGTTTATCACATCTTTAAAACACTACTTCCTGCAAAATGTTGACCACATGGTCATAGATGCTGTAATACCATATCAATAACCAACTCCTCCAGTATCTTAAGCTATTAGGTTAAAACATATGAATGATTTTATATCTCTTAATGTCTAACTTAATGGTTCATTTTTCAGAAACCCAATAAAGCATGGTTCTCAGGGGAAAGAATCAAGTTTTCCAAACAGAAAAACAGCTAAACTGGAGGTAAGTGTGGGAAAAAAACTTTATAAGATATAGTACCATAAGATTTTATATTAAACATGGAAGTACTAGATATTTTATATCTAAATATCTAGAATATATTTCCGAATATAGGTTTCTCAGGATCCAAAGCCTCCCAGGATTTAACTATAGATTAATGAATTGGCTTTCTGTGGTTCTCTTTTCAGTTCTCTCAATTGTTTGACACTTGAAAGTTTCAAATCTTTACTCACACCGAAGACTAAAAGGCTCGGCAATGCATCTTAAGAGCATAATACATGCAAGTCTATTTCAACGGAATAATCTCAAAACAACAGCACATCAAACATTATGGGGCATGCCATTATGGAACACATGTTCTTAATTTGGTCATGATTTACAAAGAAAAAGAAAAAGAATGAAGAAAAGAGTAGGATTGCAAACTGAAATGCACATGGCCATTACAATGAGAACTAATTACCGAACTAAACACAAGAATGACTAATCAAAAATGGTTCACTCCTCAAAGCAACCAAAATCAATCTACATTCACTCTTAATAAAAAAACAAACAAATCTTATCCATGATTACCGAACCTATTACAATACAAAAGCATGCATATCAAACCCGATGATACATAGAATTGGAACTCAAATTACAGAAATTGAATGATAAAATCTATCAAAGAATTTACACGAGGTTATAAAAACATTAAAAACAAAAAAACAAAAAAGAAGGCCTCATTCCAAGCTATCAACATGGTATAACTATTATATGTAAAACCAGCTTGAGAATATAATGCATGGACGTTTCACATTTTCGTATCACCAAATGATGAAAAATGCAATTAAAAGAGAAATGAAAATGAAATCACCTATGTTATATTCTAGTGTACCCTGTTTTCTTTGGGGGGCTACCACCACCACTAACAAAAGAAAGCAACCCTCCATCGAAATTCTCTTGCTCATCCACGTACAAATCCTCGGTGCTCCGAAAAGCAGCGTGCAACCAAACCACCGCAACCCCAACGAGAACAGAGACCAACACGTTCAACCAGACGCCGGTGAGCACGAGAGCCACCACGGTCACCACCGCGAGCGCAGCCAGCACGAGGCGGTCGTCGATGGTGCGGGAGAACACGACGACGGGGCTGTCGCGGAAGAAGTAGAGGAAGAACCAGGCGGCGGAGACGGCGATGAAGACGATGAGGGAGATTGGGTGCCAGAGGAGGCTGAGGAAGAGGATGAAGAGAACGATGATGGCGTAGTTGACGCGGAAGTGGTTGAGGTTTCGCTTGATGCGGAGGGCGGCTTCGCCGAAGGAGTAGGGGCGCGTGAAGGAGTGGAGGGCGAAGAGTTCCTCCCAAGGGCGGCGCGTGGCGAAATTGGAGGGAGCTGTGGCGCGTGGGGGCAAGTACGGGTATGGAGAAGGAGAAGGAGAAGTTGAGGTTGAAGGGAGAGAGTTGTAACGTGTAAGAGGCGTTGCGGTAATTGAAGACATGGCATCAGAAGAGAAAAAAAAAAGAAAGAAAAAAAGAAAACCCTATTCTATTTGAAGACAAGAGATTGATTATTAAGAACCCTAAACCCAAGTTGAAGTTGATGTTACTGAGTATATGCGAGCGTGAGTCAATAACATGTTTGAATTTGAAGGGAAGTTGTTTGGTTGTTGAGTATTGACTATTGAGTAGACCCCAACGATTCATCTACGAGGCATGTTTTTGTACTAACACATGGAGTGTTCTGCGGATTTCCCAAGAAACCCTGTATCAAATTCCATTCAATAATCACATTCAGTACAATTATTATTCATAACATAATATTGGGAGTGGATTCTTAAAAATTCACAGATGATTTGAAATTTTTTATCTATCTCTATTTCTTTTATTAACGTTGGCAAATTATAATTTGAATCTCATTTATTAAAAATTTATGAAATTTTAATATTAAAGTTCATGAAAATAAGGGTGAGCAACTGAAATCATCATTATCTCATATCCATTCTACGAGTTTCGTTTCGTATCACCATTAATTTGTCAACTTATTGAAATTTTTTATGGGATATATTTTTCTTATGTTGTAGGAAAAGAATTACCTCATGTTGTAGAAATAAAAGTATAAGTGGGACCCACATGTAAGAGGAGAGAGAAAAAAAAAGTGGTGGGACCCAACCTTTTTTGTGTGTGTAGGAGAGATGTTTATCTCATGTAAAATGAGATAAACATAACCCATTTTTTATATGACATTGGTTACCACCATAAACCTGAATACACAGGACAAGACAAATACTATGTTATGAATAATAATTATAATGGAGCTATTGAATGGAATGGGAAGGGACTTTCACTTTGAGAAGTTGATAAAAGGCTTCTTGGGAAATCGAAATGAGTAATCCATTTCTTCATCCCAGACAACTTACTTTTTTAACCTTTTAGCCTTTCATCATAGCTAAATCGCCATATATATTTTTTTCTTTTGTCAACAAGCCGTGGCACAGGTGGCTAAGAGTCGGTCTATATCCTAAAAGGGCGTGAGTTCGATTCTCTCTGGCCGCTTTGAAGGCCCTTGTTGATGGGTAAACTATAAAGCGGGTTTAGTTTGCCGTTGTCCCTGGCATCCTGGCGGGTTACATACTAGTGTTTCCTCTGCCAGAACTTTTTTTAGTACTAAAAAAAAAAAATCGCCATATTTTTAATAAGTTAATTTTAAAATTAGGGCAGCATCAAGTAAAAATAATAAGTCTTTATTACAAAAATAATAATAAGTCTACAACAAATCTTAATCTGTTGTAAAATTACTAAAAAATTAGAAGAACAAGAATTAGAATATAGAGATAAAAGAATGTATTCTTGTTATCAAAAAAAAAAAAAAAAATTGTATTTTGGTTGTTTTGTCATATTACAATAATACTTTATTTATAGGCTCGAGAAACATGAACGTTACAATAACTGAAATTATTCTCCAACTGTCATAATATCTCCAACATCCATAACGTCTCCAACAGCCATAACGTCTCTAACGGTTATATATCGGATTGGACAACCAATAAATTGGTTATAACACTCCACCTTGGAAGTCCAATAATCCTCAACTGAGCCATATAATTAATCTTCTTTATCACGTTATTTATGCCCATTGGAATTTCAAGATTAGAAATTTATTTTTCAAGGGGGTGAAATAGATATTTTTATTTATGTCGAGATCTCATTGAGGTACTCAATGGATTTGCTTTATCCATGAACGATCTCTTTGCTTTATCCATGTACAATCTCTTTAAATTATAAATCAACTGATAAATATTTTATCAATGCGATTATACCACATACGCCTTTATTTCTTTAATCCATTTACCAATATTTGAAGCTTTATTCAACAAATTTTCCGGAAATTCTTATATGCTTCAAGAGTTTTAAATCCTTCTAGGATTTTCATATAAATTTCATTATCGATCGAATAAGCCACATAAATATGCTATAACAACATCCATTAGACGCGCACAAATTTTTCATATACTGCCTGATTAATAAGATATCTGAAGGTGATTGCATCCACCACACGAAATTATATTTCATAATAAATGCCAGCCAATTGTGAAAATCATTGTGCTACAAGTAGTGTTTTATATCTTACCACTTTATTTTCTCATTATAATTTTTACACATTTATACCCCACTAGCTTTACACCTTCATATGTTTGGATTATAGATCCAAAAACCTTTGAAATTGAATTGCGTCTTTATGATTTGGCCAATCATCATCAACAAATTTATCTTTAAGATCCTCGTCTTATTTCCTCATTTCATTTTATGCAAAAATATTGTCGACAACTATATCTTTATGGTTCCAACTTTTTTCTATAATGACATAACTAAGAGATCTCTTCATTTTCATTATTTTCAGGTACCTGAACCTCCCTTGAGGTTTGATCAAAGTTATATATTTATGTCTCCATATTATGACCATCTTAAGCATGTACAGTTGGAATATTAGACTTATTGGTTAGTTAAATCATCCGGCAGTCGATGTATAATATCCTTTTGCTCATATTTGCTTTGTGCGAGGATCTATGAGATAACGATAATGATAATGCTTTTCTATTTTCTTTCATTCTTGATCTTACTATATCCGGCTAGTTCTTTAAGTAGTTAGGGTTATATGGAATTTAATCAATTTATTATACTTTGAACAATTTGTTATGTTAATTTTCCTTTTTATCATGAATGAAATTATCTGCTTTTAATGCTTTATATGAGCTTGAATCTTGTTTATTGATCTTAGGTAAATGCATGACAATAGGAATGTTGATGTGTGATCCATATCTGATAATTTCATCATAAACGTTATGATTCTAGGGATAGACATAGGGTTTGCGTAAACTTTATGGTTCTTGAACTAAATGCTTACCTTCTTGGGGAATAACCGGGAACTAAGGTTCTTGCAAGATTGTAAAGGTTTAGGGTAACAAGGGATTGAGCCCTAATTACATAAGAAAGAATTGATTAGATTGATATTAAGGACGATTAACGTAAATAAGGAATTCAAACGTAATAGAGAGATTGAAGGAAATCGAAACTCTAGCTACGTTCTTTTATATTAGTTAAATCAAATCTTTAAATTCTTGCTTTTAATTCTTGCAATTAATTAGTTTTAATATTTAGATTTCAATTCAAATCCTGTTTCAAATACAATTTCGCTTGTTCAACTTAAGTTGCAATAATGAGTTAGTGCTTGAATATAATCCTCGTGGGAACGATCTCTTATTCAATCATTATATTACTTGTACAATCGGTGCACTTGCCGTGAGTAACCCAACAAGTTTTTGGCGCCGTTGTCGGAGAAATATATAATGAAATTGATATCCAACATATATTCTCTCCCCCTCATGTTGGAAAGACTGATAACAATAATCTACTAAATTTCCCGTCATTATTTAAAGATATTATATAAGGGAATTGATATCCAATATATATTCTCAACTATATTTGTTATAACTTATTGGCATGATGCGTACAAGTAAATATAGCATATTTCCATGCAAAAATAGGAAACTTTATTCTTATAGACAATGTTCTAGTAATCAATTAGAGACATTTAATAAATAATTTCGCTAATATATAAATTCACCAGCATTATGAAGACGAATTGTCTTTATTGTACTCTTAATATTATCATTTGAGCAAACAATCTCACAAACGTAATATAGACAAACATGTGACCATTTTGTAGATGCATCTATTAAATTCATATTATTTGAAAGGTTTACATGATAGGTGAATGGACCCATATATTTCACCATATATGCATTCTAAAAATGCAAGAGATTGAATCTCAACTCTAGCTAGTGATAATTTCTCTTAAGAACTAGCAATACAAGAAAATTCAATAAATTTTCAATAAATCGAAGAATCTTATGGTTCTTCAATGCATGATCATATGAATTTTCAATAATATTTCGCATCATGTTTGATCCGGGATGGTCCGTCCGGTCATGCCAAATAATATAGCTATTATAATCAATATCAATCACAATTTTAAAATTGTGCACCGAGAGCAACTTAAGTAATAATACCACGTGTATTAACATTGAATGCATTGGGTAATATTATATTATTAGAAATATTGGATAGGAATAGATTAAAACTCTATCATTTTCCTATTGTTACAATGTATTCAAATTCTAAGCCAATTTTGACATTACTTAAGTAATAGACCAACATGTGAAAAACTGCAAATAGGAAATAATACATTCTATAGATTCTGTGCACTAAACAAGGCCACAAAGGAAATGAACTTAGCCACCAAAAGTAAGCTTTGAGTAAGGGCATGGTTTGATTCTAAATATAAAGTCTGATGATACAGTATACCCATAACTTACACTCATAACATTTACAATGTCAACTTTTGGGACTAATGACATAAATTAAAATCCATCATCATAATTATTATTATTTTATTGAAATAATAAGAATCTTTTCTCATAAAAAAAATACCGTAACAATACTGAAGGCCAGCACAAAAATATCTTTTCAAAATCGTAACAATATTGGAGGCTTATGTAATATAAAGAATCTGCCTTTATTATATACAACTTGTCTTATCTAGCCTTATCTATATAGAAGAGGGATATTCTCACTACCAAAAATTTCTACTACCAACTTACTACCTATCTAATCTCCATTAGATTAACATTTTCTCTCTCTTCAAAAACTTTTTAAGATTCTCTCTTTTTGATCCAATGGTGATATGATATGTAGTAAGTTAGTAGTAAGAATTTTTGGTAGTTAGAATATCTTTACTCATCTATATAAGGTCAGAATTTATGAAAAGAGCAAAATTTCAAAAAAAATATGCCAAAAAAAATGCGTCAAAAAAAGGAACAAACAACCAAAATATATGCTTCTAGATTTCAAGGACTTAACCGACCCAAACAAACAGTGAATAAAAATAATAATAAACAAACGGTGACAGCAAAACTTCCGTGGACTTATTCAAATTTTCCAAATAAAAAAAATGAAACATACTAATGGGCACGTTTCACGAACGGTAACAAACATACTTATTCAAAACTTCTGTTTAACATTGCAATATAATAGGCACGTCTCACGAAACATACCAAAACATAATATATCGTTTGAAATAACATGCTAATAGTCATGGACGTGTCACAAAAAAATAACTTTCAGAAAGATAATGGTAAAACAGTAACACAACTTCCGAAATTCAGCTACTACCAAGCAAACCTTGTATATCTTGTCTTAAAAAAAATACTAATGACAATAAGACATATAAAGCAAAAGAAATCCAGATAAAAACTTGTTGGATCAGAGTGCAGGTGATCAAGAAGCATATAAGACAGGACATGGAAATGGAAAACAAAATAACCATTTAATCCTAAAATTCTCAATCCAACCGAAGAAACAAAATAACCATCTATTGATAAAACAAACAAACATGTAATCGTGGGACCTAGAAAATCAGAATTGATAAAAGAAAAGCGGAACAGTAAGGCAAATGGTTGAAGTAACAGACATTCAAGTAATGGCTAATGGTCTTCACGATTCATGAAACAATTCTTAAAGAAAATGCAGACGCTAGTTTGAATAGATTCTTTGTTGAATATAATGGGTAGAAATTGTCCTCAACACGTGGTTTGAAATCCAGGAAATTGTTAGCATAAAATCCAAGTACGCTACGTTATATGATTATAGCTTCAATATAATGGATTTCAGGTGCTACATTCAAGTACGCTAGCTTGAAATCCAAAAAAAAAAATGCAAGATAGAAATGCACGGGAAACGATGATAAAGAAAGCATATAACACTATACATGAAAATTGAATAGCGAAAAGACCTTTTAATTAAGGTAACATAAAAGTACTAACATGCTCAATTCAATCAACAAAACAGTGGATTCTATAATTATATAGACGTGGCTCTGATATTAAATGAAAGAAGTATTTTAATTCTGAATTATATATATAATTATAAAATATCAAACAATATAAAATTAAAGTTGGGATTGTGTGTACGTCATAAAATTGAAAGAAAGAAGGGAGTATATGCCGGATCTTCTTCTCTATCACCTTGATCTCGAATGTGATCTTGACTGGCTGCGACTATAACTTTGGCCTCGTGCTGATAACATGTTGTAAGATTACTAAGAAATTAGAAGAATAAGAATTAGAATATCTCCCTCGAATGTGATCTTGACTGTCACTGGCTACAACTGCTACTATAACTTTGGCCTCGTGCTGATAACATGTTGTAAAATTACTAAGAAATTAGAAGAATAAGAATTAGAATATAGAGATAAAAGAATGTATTCTGGGTTTTGTCATAGTCTTATTTATAGGCTCAAGAAACATGAAAGTTACAATAACTGAAATTATTTTCCAAGGTTATAATATCTCCAACCGCCATAACGTCTCCAACCGCCATAACGTCTCTAACGGTTATATAACGGATTGGACAGCCAATAAATTGTTTATAACATAATCATTAATTTTTGAGCATTTAATTATTGTAATTATTGAAAATTAATAATTAATTAATAAGTATGACTCAATAAATTATAATAGTTAAATATACGAAAATCAACGATTAAAATTTGGTATAAGACTTATTATACTTATACTGATGTAAGTTGATCATGCCCCTTAAAATTATATTATTTCTTAAAGACCATAAGTTAACAACTTAGCATGACTAAATCATTCTTTTATTACTCAATAACTATAGCTCAATTGGCGACACATGCTGAGTAATAGAGAGAAAACCTAGAAATGATCTCGACCAATATATTTTTGAAGAGGGACAAAGAGCTTTGCCTTTAAATATGACTAAGCCCTGACTCAGGATTAGTACCATAACCTACTAAAAGAGTTTAAGCTTGTATAAAAAAAAAAGAGAGTTTAAGCTTATGGGGATGGATACCCGTGAGCTAGGGGCTGACTCACCTCAAAAATATAATTAGAGTCTTTATATCATAATAAGATAAAATCATTCTTTTATTAAAATGGAGCCAACAATTTTTAATTCATCACATTTTCAATAAATAAATTTCAAAATTTTATCTCAAAAGGCAACCCACATATGCTGGAATACCCACCAGATGCAAGAGAGCCCAATTTCCTTTGGGCTTGTTATCTTAGACAAGCACTCATTCCTTAAAATATTGATACTTTAGCCTTTGGGCTTAACTAAAGATTAGTTGAAGTCATAACAACTTCTCAATTAAAAATAAAATAAAATAAACAAAATGAAACACGGTATAATTTTATCTCATTCTATATGTAAACAAAAGAAAAGAAAGCACCAGAAAATGCGGTGTATCATGGTATAATTTTGTCAATGAAAATTATCACAAGTGTGGCACATGACCTATTCATGACCAGTTTTTAATGAAATTATTAACAGCCGTGATGTTTCTGAATCTTTTAAGCGGGCTCAAGAGGATGAAGTGTATACATTAAAAAAATGAGAGTGTAAAATGTATAATTTTATAGTTGCTGTTTTAAAGTTGATTTGTGCAAAAATTTTGCAGGATAAAATATAACTTACACAAAGAGAAAAGGTGAAAAAAATTTTGGGGGAGTTCAAAATTCATTCACATATCATGGAAGAATTTGTAGTTCTTGATATCTTCCACAATGAATTTGACAGCACCAATGCAACCCAAGATGGCAACTATTGAGAACCATGTTGCTATTAAAATATTTAATGGCCGCATCAAAAGCCCAAGTTTGGAGTTCTTGGCTATACTTCCAGCCTTAAGGTATGCTAAAGCAGGGAACACAAAGTCCAGAGGAGTAAACCCAATTGCCCCACAGATTGACACAAAATCCCCAAAAAAGGGCATAGCTGCAGCAATAAGAGTCACAAGAACCATATATATGGAAGTATAAGTAAGTCGTGCCAGGTTATTTCTAAAGGGAAAATGGCTAATAGATTTGTTGGACCCCATTATTTCCTCAAAGTAAGCATATGTTGGCCTGCAGTATATCTGACAAATGATGCAATGAACTACATTAGTAAAGGGATTTATACCATAATCATTTGATATAAACTGGGATTTGGAAATGATGAATAGCAATTAAACTAAAAAACTTTGCATAACTGCCTAGTGATTATAACTGATAACTGAATAATAAAGACTAGTGCTCCCTCCCCTTTCCTTCTTTCCCTACCCACATAAAAAAAAGGAAGAAAAAATGATGACCATCATACTCTTGTATTGAAGTGCCAGAGACAGTACCTGAAAGCATCCACATATTTGAATAGCTGCAAATATATTTGCCATAACAACAGTCCATTCTGGAATAGACAAAGAAGCTAAAATGTAAGGTTGGACTTCTGATCCAAAAGCCCAGTATCCAGAGAAGGCCAACTGCCAGTAAGTTAATACAATGACACTATATGCTGCTGATATGCTTCTGTACATATTCCTCTTTGCAGGTTCTCTCACTGTATTCTGGAAAAGAAATAGACTATTATAAAAAATTGCTATTTTACAATTTAGGGGCAAAGTGCTTTTTTTCCCTCCCTTTAAACTACAACTATGCACATAAAAAGTGAATGATATGTAAGAGATTTAGAAGCATTAGATACCTGTATTTCTGGAAGCATTGCATCACCAAATGAAAAGGCAATGGTCCCAAGGGCATTGAAAGCTTTGAAGGACTTAGAAGCAGAACTACCCTGCACACTGTAACTTACTGATGTTCTGTCAATCTTCTTACCTGAGAGATGTTGGAAACCAAAAAGCTGAATATGTTGTCACCACAAAATCAAGAGGGGGAACCAATCAAGTATTAAGGCATTGACATATAAAAAATGAAGAAGAAATCCATTATCAGCCTACCGTTGTAAATGGTAACACCAATGGTTGTACCAGCAAAGCCAATTGTGCTGAAAGTGCACAATGCATTTACCCATCTCAGTGAGTGAATATCAGGGAGCTGAGAGAGAATTAGTTCAAAGATTCCAAAGAAAACAATAAAATGCTGCAGGGTCAATTTTCCATCCTGGTGATAGTGCTTGTAAACTGCCTGCACAACATGGAAATAGAACATTTCCAGAACCCCCAACCCAAAAAACAAAAACCACAAGTGGGCAGAAATGGTTGTTTTTTTTGGGGTCAATAAAAAGATATAAATGAAAAGGCAGAAGATCATAAAAAAAAGGTGTCAAGACAAGGATGGAACATTTATAGTATTTGTCCTATTACTCTACAAAATTTGGTTAGATGCATAACCTTTAAGCTGCTACCAGCTGCAATCTGGATAGCAATGTTATTTCCAAGAGAAGCCACCTGCTGAAAAAATGCAACAGACCAATACCCCCAGAATCCTTCAAGAATCATTAACAACATATCAAGAATATTACTGTCATGGATAATATGAGCACAAAGCTGCAAAGGCAACATTTGACTATTGAATATGAGTATATGACAGATTATGTTATGACTATAAACTCCGAATGTACAAAATAAGTGGTTCAGCATAAATCTATGTATGCATAGGTAATAGGTTAAGTCTGTTTTGACGATCAAAAAGGCATAAAAGCAGATATCTTCACTTCTTGAGACTGCCTTCATTTTTCACTCCCCTATGGATTTTAACTGAGTATGGTTCTTATTATATACATTAGTAATAAAAATTTTGTGAATGACGCAGCAAGGAGGCAGCTATGAGCTATTTGCAGTTTTCCTTTTTTGTATAACTGTAAAGCCAACATCAACATATAATACCAACCGAAAATACTACGTGCAAGATGTCTATAGGTAAGGTGCTTCTCCCCATTCCATTTCCACAAAGAAGCGATCAGAATGCTAGAGTACCAGGTGGCTAGTGTTGCACTCACAAGACTACTCACACCTGAAATCAGTAAGAAACACTTCACAGAGACCGCTAGTTGAGATGAATAAATCCAATTTTTCTAAACATTATGCACAAACACGCACAAATAAAATAATCAGTTAAGTACTTACCAAAAACGATGAACACTTGAGATAAAAGAGTGGCTTTAAAATAAATAAATGAATACACAAAAAGGAAAATGACCCTCGTGCTGGAAAAACAACATTGTAGACCATTAAGGATGCTAACATTGTAGACCATTAAGGGTGCTAACATAAGGTTTTTCATTATGAAAAATGACAGTACTCAATATGTAACCAGATTGTTCTATATTTGCAACTGCAAGTTCTATAAAAATATTAATATAACGTCAAAAATACAGTTATGGTTTATTAATGTAACTCTTCCCAAAGAGGTAGAGGTAGAAAATTTATAAAATCATTTCATCTACAAGAGCTTTGATAATCAACCCTCCATTACCCCAAGCATGTGAATCAGGTAAGGGATTGTTCCAGCTTAACGTGCCCATATGATCCTACACGGCTCGAATCGATGAACCTAAGTGTAAAGAACTTATTCAACCCAAAAGCTTAAGCTAGTGGGTGAGGGCTATATTAATAGTTTTATATATATCAACACGTCCCCTCACACGAGAGGCCACTGGGCTTGAAGGGTGGACAATGTATAGGCCCACCTACCTGTGCGAAGAAAAAAATTCCACTAGAAAGAAAGTGGAGGCGGTGAGGATCGAACCCGGTACACCGAAGCTCTGGATACCATATAAAGAACCAATTCAACCCAAAATCTTAAACTAGTGGGTGAGGGCTACATTAATGGTTTTATATATCTCAACACTAAGGATTATATCCAAAAGATAATAATCAACCCCCCTCCAAAAAAAAAAGTTTTTTTTTCTTTCATGATTGTCATAATTCCTAAATATATATGAAAAACAACCTTATTAATTTGGTCAAAACTCAAAAGTAGTACTGGTTTTGCTTATTTGTACTATTTATAATTCTGATGATCATCCAAACATGGTAAGAGAAAAGAGTGTTGAGAGATAAGAGAGTAAGGGGAAAGAACTAACCAAGAGGCCAACCAAGAGAAGCAAGAGCAAAGGGCAAGGGAGCATAAGCAGCAGGGGTGGCAATAGTGGTGGCAACATGGAAAGCCGCGTGCTTCCACGTTCCTTTACGCACCAATTCAGCAGCACTTACTCCTTCTTCTGCATCATTTTCCTCTGCTTCTCTTCCCACTTCACTTGGTGAACCCATTAAGTTTCAGCTCCTATCACTTAGCTTCTGTTTTTCCCTCTATGATATATATGTATTCAACATAGTATAATAATGATCCTAACCCCTATTCTAGTTGGAATTTACAATACATACATATTTCTTCTCCATGTTTGTTGACTTTTCCTCACCGATAGACGAAATCTTGGAAGAAGAAAAATTAAAAAAGCGATAACATGCGACTTTAGTGGCCATTATGAACAAAAGAAAGTCATATATCATACCATATAATCGCTAGTGGTGTTACTATATACATACATTAAATAAAAAAAAAGTTCTTACTTGAATCTTTGCTAACATGTTTATTTTTTAACAAAATAAAAAATTATTGAGTTGGAATCTGTTTTCGAAAGTCTAAAAAAGATTCGATTTCATTTTTTTTTTTTTAAACTTGGAAGAGTTGAAAGTTAAAAATAACAAAAGAAATTATCCAACACGTTAACGCACCGGTCGAGAAAATTAAATATTTATATGACGATTTTTTAATCATATATATATATATAATTTAGATTATAAAATTATTATATTTATTTTAAAATATAATTAAATTATGGGAAAAGTGTGTATCATTTTAAAGGATACAAAGTTGTGTCGTTTTAAGTGAGAGAAAGAGATAAATCATGGAGAGAGAGTGGGAGGGAATTTTTTCAAAGATGTGAGTCTCACCTCTTTGTGAGAGTAAAAGGATATAAGGTGCGCCATTTAAAATAACACCTTTTTTTCCTTAAATTATTTATATTACAAAAATATTTATAATTATTTTTTATTTAGTTTTAATTTAATCTTAATTATATTTAATAATTATTTTAAAAAAATCATGACAATTGTAGTTAACAAACATAAATGTAAAAAGTATAAAAAATCTACATAATCATAATTAAAAATATTTAAAATTTAAAATAATAAAATCTGTATGACAATTGTAATATATACTATATAATACTCGTCCAAACTTTGGGGTAGGATATTGTAATAATTAATTAGGGTTATTATCAATTTCACCGTTAACTCGATTATGTTGATCCAACGGTTATATTTATTTATATCTTTGTATCGTTATAATTTCACATATTTAATATGAAAGCATTAAATATGAGAAATCATAATCATACAAATGTAAAAATAAATATTAAATATTAAATATAGAGAATCATAACCATACAAAGATGAAAATAAATACAATCGTTGGATCAACATAATCGATCGATTTAACCGAAAATTGTGAAATTGATTAATAGTAACATTGATAATAACCAAAATTGGTTATTACAATATCGCGAACTTTTGCAATGAGATGCATCCTCGTAAATAAAGATCGGAGGGAGACATTAATTAGATACTTAGGGGACGTTTGGGAGAGGATAAATTTTTTTTATCTGGAAATCATGATTTTCGAAAATATAGTTGAAAAATAACTTTTCCAGAAATATTAGAAAAAAATGTGTTTGGTAGACAGAAATATTGGTGGAAATATTTGTAAAATTTTAATATTGCTACATTTGGTTGATAGTAAAATTGTAATGGAATTTTGGGTGAAATTTACAAATATATCCTCATCTTTATATATTAATCCGTTTTTTTACGACGCAAGTAGAAGTCATAGGGTTATATTTGTCTATGGCTTCACTGTTAATTTTTGGTTTCCCTGGAAAAGTACACAAATCCATCTAATTGGTGAAATTTTTTGTTGGCATCTTAAAAAAATTACATTGATTTTGAAATCCTAACATGTCAACCTCCCCAGGATTATCTCACATTTTTTATTTAGGAAACATTGCATTTCAGTTTACCGAGCCTAAGAATCCAAGGAAATCAAAAAAAATCCAGCTAACAAACGGGCCCTTAAAGCCTATTATTGATCAAATCTATAAAGAAAAAAGAAAAAGAAAAGGATATTTTATGTTACAAATTAATATAATAGATTTTTTTTTGGTGAGGAAATATAATAGATTTTAATTTTAACTTATAGCTGATATAAAATCATTATTTAACTGTGTTAAGAAATTAATTAGAGAATTTGACTTTCTATTTTAATTATTTAATAATAAGAAAAACAAAACCAAAGCTTTGTGGCTGGTTATACTTGAAAGCTGAAACGACATAAGGGTTTGCGTCGTGTTAGGAAGCAGAAAAAACGTCCGCTAGGGTGTGTTACAGTCCAATAGATCCTGAGTCTCGACGAAACCTTTATTTTGGTGACATTTTGTTGAATTAACAGGTGTGTTCTCTGTGAGTGTGAGCTGCAATGGTTTACATAACTTCGTGGGACGAGTTTCTTGATCGATCTATTCAGTTGTTCCGTGCCGATCCTGATTCTGTAAGTTTTTTTCTTCTGCTTTTCAGTTTTTTTCTTTTTTTTAATGGTGTTCTGTGCTTTAACTTGTGTTTGGTTGCCGAGAAAATAGAACAAAAACAAAATGAACACAACCAAAGACTATAAGTTATGTTATATTTTATTTTATTTTATTTTTACTGAAATAATTTTGGGGTTGAATTCGTGATATAGACGCGGTATGTCATGAAGTACAGGCATTGTGATGGCAAATTGGTACTCAAGGTCACCGACAATCGAGAGGTACTAATTCTTATCTATTATTATTACTTTATTTTTTATGTACCTTTTGTCATGTTTGTGTTTAAGGGTTGAATGCAAGTCATTGTTTTTTAGACTCACTTGATAATTAGGAAAATGTTAGTATGTGCTCAATTGTTGGAAGTATTTTGTTAGGAGAGAAGATACAGATAACAATATTCGGAAGGAAATTTCTTAAATAGTAATATTCTTACAGAAAATAGATGAAATACAAGGATAATAAGTGACAACATCCAGAGCATTAGAGAGGCTAGTGATGTCTCCCACTTGCACAATTACAATCTGTCTAAAATCGGCCTAAACTTTCTGGTTATTCCTACAATTTTATACTCCTATATGACTGCAATTATCAATTTTGTAGCCCTAATTACCTTGCCACGTTGTTTTTGTTAATCAAATTAAGGATGCCCCATCAATATGTTTATTGGCCAATACTACCTCCCCCCCCCCCCCCCCCCCCACACACACACACACACACTTAAAATAAATAAATAAATATATGAATATATGAATTTCAAACTATTCATGGTTGCTTTTGGTTTTGGTTTTGTCGCTGAACTATGAATAATTTGAAATATATGAATTTCAAACTATTCATGGATTATTTGGACTGCAAAAATCCTTTTCATTTTTTTTATTAGTGAATGCTCCTTTATGGTTATGACACGACTTTCTGTTCCTTAATTTCAATTTACATGTACTGCAGCTGAGGAATTGTGCCTTCTATATTTAGCATCTATATCTAAACAAGCTAAACAACTGCTAGAAAGTCATTGTTGATTGGTGTTTTTCCTACATCCTTGGGCAAGTTGCCAAGTGTTAAAATACATAGGATAACGTCCAGTTGCTGAAGGCCAGAAACAACATCACTATGGGATACTTTGACTTTTTTTTTGGTGAAGTAATCCTTAATAGGGATGTATGTAAATTGAAGCTTTTTGTAGGATGCTAGTTTGGCCATGAGCATTGCTGATTTATCTTTTCTTTTTTCAAACTTTAAACTTATTATGATATCACACCAAATATGGAAAGTAAAACTTGGAAGCATTGTTGATCTTTTAGATGACATTCTAGTTAAGACTCCATGTTTGTTCGAGGTTGTTATATAGGGTCATGAGGTCGTTGAACAGCCGTTAAACGGTTTGATTATTTACCATCAGTTTTGCTTCTTCCAATCATATATCCATTTAACATTTTACAAATAATAATTTCAAAAATCTGGTCAGAGACATGGCATTGGGATGATATAAATCTGCTAAGTAGTTTCTGTGGGTAGTAATCTGTATATTTATTACTTCTAATTTTTATCTTAAAATATATATTTATGAGTTATTGCATGTAAGGGTTCTGGTTGCAAGGCTCCCCCACCCCAAAACCTTCAGATGATGAAAAGTAGTTAAACCCAGAAACAGGAAAATAATGTGATTAGATATTCATTTGATGCTTACATAGTAGTTAATTGTGCCGCAATAGCGCCGCGAGCCGCGCCGTATGGGCGTTGCGGTGCCTCGTCGCAAAAAACCGCATCGCGCCACACCGGAACGCAATAGCGGCCATTGCCATCGCATTTGTGGCCATATTGCTGTCATAAGGCAAAATGTCAACTTTGTCCTAAATCTAAATGTGTAACAGAAATTTAAGGGTTTTTTAGTCTATCTGCGTCTCTCTATGTCACTTCTACTATCTCTACCTTTAAAAAAAAAAAAATTTGTCATTATTTCTGTCATATATCTATTTCGCTATTTCTGCAACCGCAACCCGCTATAACGCTATAGCGTTTTTCGAGGTTGGCCGCGACATGCCGCAATCCGCATTTGATAACTATGGATGCTTATTTATATGGCATCTTATGCCTTATACTAAGGATGATGGCATGATGCTATCTCTAGGAATCTGCACAAGCAAGGGAATTAATTCGGGGGAACTGATTTACTGTAGCACTATAAATCTTTATATTCTGTTTGCCTCTGGGAACTGGGGATGGGTGACAAGTTGTCCATTATTAATGGATGACATAACTGTATAAGCAAGCAAGATGTGACTCCTTGCATCAATAAATTTTGTCTTGTCTACACTTTTTGCTGGCCATTTTTCTTGAATAGAATATATTTTTTGTCACTTGTGTGAAGCCTGTGGATGCAGTGATGTGCCGTTGCATATTTCTTGCACTTGAACAAATTCTTTTCTTCTACTCTCCCCATTGCCGTCTAAGTCACATCACACATATAATTATTCCAAAAGTTGATTGTTATTGTTTTTGACCAGTGTCTGAAGTATAAGACGGACCAAGCACAAGAAGCTAAAAAGATGGAAAAACTGAATAATATATTCTTTACTTTGATGGCTCGGGGACCAGAAGGTATGTCTTTTGTTATGCTTTGTTGATAAGGATACAACATTTGGGCACTTATTTGCAGAGGGATATATTTGAGTGAGAAATGATTTTGAAATCGTTTTCCTGTAATTTTTGTAAATGTTGAAATCTTGGGAAAGAATAATGAGTAAAACTTTAATGATTAGTGCATGTTAAAGGTGTTAGCCAGCTTAGGATGCGCATAAATTTTTCCTCAAAAGGTCTCTGGTGCATGGAGTTGACAGCATGTTAAACTGCAATCTTTTTCAATTGTAAACTAGTACTTCTTGGTACCATGCTTAAAGGTTATGAAAGTTAGAAGGCGTACATTGATGATACATTTAGGGTCTTTTCCTGTGTCATCTTGCCTACAGGAATTTCTCACTGTTGTTTTGTTTTTTAAAATAATTTCTCTATTCTGCAGTGGATCTATCAGAAGTCACTGGGAAAGAACAAATGGATGCACAACCGACCAAAAGAGGAAGAGGAAGGAAGCAATAACTCATGTGTCTGGCTGTCCAAAAGGGCTTCATGAATCTTAGGAAATCAGTAATGATTTGATAGATTTTTTTTTACCCCTTTTCCAAAATCTTACTGCAATGCCTGGATTGCATACAGAATTTTTTGTTTTCTGAATTCTTTCTCAAATATTAATTAATCTTGGGTATGGTTTTGCCTACAACAAAATTATTCACATATCATTGGCGAATTGGCATTATTACCTTTAACATTGCTATTCTTACTAAATATTACTTTTGATCCTTGTCACCGGATGGTCACGGGTTCCAGTATGAGAAACAGACTATTTGAAAAAATGGGTAAGGTTGCGTAAAATTGATTTTTACCACATTTTTGCACGTTATGCACCAGGCTTTGCCTTTGGCCCTTTTAACATTGGTTTTCTGTTGCAAATGCCATGATTCTACCATAAAACCGATGTCTACTTTCAAACAAACAAGAGTGATTTGGGGTTGAGGAACATAGGGATTGCCTTCTTTTTTAATTTTCTCTACTCTCTTTTTCTGCTAAATGATTCTACTTAAAGGAGTGGATTTTGGACCGCGATCCTTCTTTTATAGACGCCCAGGCAGCATGGTTTGAGCCAAACATCTAGTGGGATAGCACTATCCAGTTTTCTTCTTGACCTTAAATTGAAAATTCCTTCATTTTATCGTTGGCTTTCATGCTAATTTATCTAGAAATTGACCCAGCTTGCTATATATACTCAAGTTTGCATGACTTTTGGTCTGTTTCAAGCCTTTTAATTAGTTAAACGACACATTTGTTGTAAATATGATAGAATCTTCTTGTTAATTAAAGTGGCACACACTGTATAGTGCTCCAGGAGAGGGATGGCTAAGCAACAATGACACTTTCCTTTAGCTTGCATTCATTTTATTTCGGTGAATCAAAGAGTAATAGACACAACTCAAATTGATGAATTTGAGGGTCATATACAAGTATCTTACCATAATTCCGGGTTCCAATCATAGACGTACTTGAATAGTCCTTGACCTGTTTCACCAGATCCCGATGTTCCCTATTTGCTTTTATCTGCTTTGCTGGCCCATTAAAAAGTTAAAGTGTTAAATCCATGTGCCATGAAAAAAGCTTGTAAACTTGAATCCTTTTTCCCCTCCCTTGAAAGATTGTAAAGATGCAAAGGCAACATGGAAAATATTCTTCAATCAAATAAAGGAACACAGATTGACAGAATGTTTTCGTAGTGGGTTATGTGCCATGACAAAAGTGCAAAGCTATGCTTTATTTTTATTGTGATTTGTTCCTAGATCAGTGCGGGACCTGGTCTCCAAGGCCTGGGGACTCTGGCCATTATAGTAGGTTAGTATCATGCACTATTGCTTATCTGTTTGAAGGGGTATAAGGTTTCTGCTTGCCTTTGCAAAACTCTCACTTTTATGACATAAGTTGAAGGCTTGGATGTTAGTGCACAAGTTAGTTCCTTGATCCTGCTACAAAAATTCAATGACGAGAGAATTAAATATAAGAATCAAGGATTTTAGGATTCCTTCCTTGGGTTAAAAAATGTGAGAAGAAGCCAATTATGATTAAGCTGAAGGAATAAAAGAGATGCTCATTGATTTTGAAAAGAATGTCGATTTGGAATATGCCACTTTTGGCCACAAATAATAAAAAGAAAGGCAACTTGAGAATATGTTGTTCCACATATGTATGATGTTGAACAATAGATGAATAACTCAGCCTGCAGTAGTGCTTAAAGGTGAAAAATAAGATGTTTATGTCAGTTCGACACATGGTGAAGTATAAAAGATTTAAATCTTTCATCACTGTACTTTTAAGAGTAAAGTTTCCTTTTGGATTCTATATATCTAATTATATCTTAACTGTTTCAAAAGACATCTGTAGTGTAGTTGTCTTCTTTTTTCTTCTTATCCTTTTGATCATAGTCTATAAATCCACCTTTGAATGCACTTGCTAAGAAAGTTAAATAAATAAATGAGAGAAAATAAAATAGGAATTGAAGTTTTTTATTTTTTGTTCTATAATACTTGGTAATAGGGTGAATAATATAACTAAATTCATTTCATTTTTAATTACTTTATTTTTCCTTTATTAAATAAGTGTAAATTGATTTGTGTTCTAATGCGGTCATTTCATTTTGTTCGAACTGTCATAATGAAATTAACTCTCCTAAAAGAGAGTCACAATCCCCTTCTAGTTGTGTTATGTAAGACTTAAGTATTGAAGGTTGAAGGGCTAAGACAGAAGTTAGATTAGACTGGAGTTAATATCATGGATTGTCACAAATTTTCAGTTGAATTATCTAATTTGGGGTTCTTAAAGAATAAACATCTATGAAAATCCAAGTAAATGACAGAAAAAGTTAAATATTTAAAGCCCCTTTGAATTATGTTTTTAAAAATAGTTTTTAAATTTTTCGAACAAAAAACATGTTTAATAACTTCTGTTTTGTAAAAATAGTTTTAAAAAAATTATTATTTTTTAGTTTTTAGAATCAAATTTAGAGAATATATTTTAATTGTTTCTGATTTATATTTTGACTTTTAACTTTACAAAAAAAAAAAAACCCACATAAAACACTCATTTCATTAACTATTATACAAAATAATTTTAAAAATAAAAAATCAGAACACAATTAAACAAGCCCTTTACCTCCCATTTTTAACCTTTCTGTTTTCATTTCAACTCCCAAATCGGTCCTAAGAAAGATTGGGGGAAAACAAAAACAAAAACAAATGAAATACACATTGCAGTTGCTGAACTAGATTGCACTCGAGAAGGTCAATGCAATTGAGCTTGGTTTCATTTGAATGAGGGACAGTGGAATGCGCTTTGATTGATTGAATCTTGAGGTTTATATGTGCTACCAAATCCCATTTGGATGAGTTTTTGCAATTATAATAAGATGTGGTCTGTGAGGAATCGCAATCTTATTGGCCTCCAAATGTAAGATTCATTACTTATGCACTGTAGTCTTTAGGTGAGATTATTAATTATCATGATATCAGAGTCAATATAACTACATGTTCACGAGTTCGATCTTCAGTATACTTTTTAGTAAAATTAACTCAGCACGAGATAGAACAAACAAAAAACAGATCTATATAATATACACATTCCATCATTTACGTGTTTAAATTTTCAGGTGAGATGATTCTTTAACGCTTGTAATAGAAATTTTCTCTTCCATTCCCTACTATTGGAACAAGAAAAACAAACTCTAAACTTTTTTTATTATTGGTAAGGAATTTTTAGACTATACCAAAAGTTCTTTTCTAAATTCATATATAAATTAATAATTGTATTCGATATAAATAAGTTCATAAAAAAAACTGGACCGAACTGATCGGTCGAACTGGTTTGACCATGAACCGAAGCACTTATCGATCGAATTAAGCTAATTGATAGGTTGAGCAGTGAATAGAACTTGAGATCCACATGCCGAATGATATGTCAATGGAAATTCATGCAATAGTTTTGAAAAATATTCCTTACCTACAAATTGAACCTAGGTCGTAAGAAATATACTGACTTATTAGTAAATGAGATATGATCCGTTTACAAACTTTTTTTGCAAATTACACTAAGTACGACCGATCGTACACTGCATGATTAAAGTATGACCGGTCGTACTTAGTGTAGTTTGTAAACAAAAAAATTTGTAAATATAACTTGCCCCTTAGTAAATATACTCTTAGTAATATATTTATCATATATAAATATAAATAATTCAACCACCAATTCACTAGTTGAATGATTCAATGACTCAGTAAGTAACTCGAATATATCAATGATTGAGCCGGAGTTTAATAATACTAAAGTAAACTCATCTTAACATGCATTTTTGTTTAATCTAAAGAAATGATAAGTTTTTTTTTTTATTTCTCCATAATCTGTTGAAAATCTTACTAATCCTATTCGGCTTTGATGAACCTATATAAAGGGTAGATCAAATTTTATTCTCATTATTCGAACTCGAGATCAATCAAGATCTCTGATTAAAAAAATAAATTCTTCACTTAAATTAATAATTATTAATTGTAAAAACTAAACTCTTGTATTATATTTGGTTAATAGTTTATGATTGGAATTTACTTAGGAAGTAATTTTCACAAATCTCCTTTTCATGATGCATAAGATAAAAAAAACCGACTCTCTCAATATTGAGCATTCTAATTAATCCCCACAATCGATTCTATTAAGAAGGAGATCCTGCTTCGATAAAGGATAAATTTTCAGTGCATGAGATGTATCTAACTCGGTATATTTTTTTTTCATATTTGAAGAAAAAGTCACCACTTTTGAAATATTTTTTCTCACCAACACATTAAAAAAGTTTATTCTTTTAGAAAAAAGGATATACCCAATTAAATACATTTGATCCACCTGTTGCGGAAATGTGTAAGGCTCATATTCTTGGGTGGCCCAATAAAGGATGGATAGCTAAATAACATGCAAGTAGCAGCACGAGCCCAAAGGAAGGAGGCTCAAATGATTTAAACCTTAAGGTAAATACTATAAATCGGAACTAAAGATCACGACTAATCTCTCTCTAATACATTTTATGTAATCACAATGCACACACATTACCTCCATTTCTGACTAAGGCCTCGTAATTGTATACAGTGATTTATTATTTTCAAAATACTTAATTCATAAATATTTAAAGAGAGCATCAAATCTAATATTGACCTACTAGCCCTTGGCTAGATATCTTTGTCAATACCAAAGATTTATTCCCGATAAAGTGAGAGCATTGGCATGTGCCATTTGTCAATTGATTGAAGAAAAGTAAGAATGAAGCAATGATTAGTTGGCTAACACCTAAGTGGACACAACTAGAGAAGAGCTTGGGTGAGAGCACGGACAACCCAACCCACATACATATATTTTTATTTTTATTTTTTTTGATAACAACCCACATACATATATTAACAAGTAACAAAAACTAACAAAATATAGAATCTGAAGTATAATGAAACTTTAATACGAATATAAGTCAATATATCATAAAGTGGGGACATATTACTCTGTCCCTTTTTTTAGATAAAATTCAATCGAATGATTGTACAAACATAACATAATTAAACAATGGTTGTAATAATAATAATAAGACAAAATCTGAATGAATTGCACACAGACTAAACTAGTCATTAGTAATAGAATAAATAAATCCATGTAGAATTTATTCTCTAGCATGATAGAA